GGTGGAGATGCTGAAATCCGTTCCGATGGGCCAGAGCGTGGACGTGGTCCTGAGGCGAGGCTACCCGATGCTCTACAACCCGGACGGCTGTCCCAAACACACCCTGGACACGGTACAGCTCGCCGCTGACCGTTGTTTCCCCGTCGTCACGCTTGTTACGTCATTATCGGCACACGTTACGTCTTTGTCACGCTTGTAGCGAGAGGTGGGAGTCGGTCAGAGTCCAGTCTCAGGTCTTAACGCTTCACGTGTCATGCAAGTCCCGAGTTACCGTGGCAAAGTTCAAGCCCGTTGAATTCCACCTAAATTTCACTTGGATGAAATCAATCAAGTGATGCAGCCTTGCTCTGTCATTAGCATCGCTTGCTACACCGTTAGCTACCTCGTTCTGGCCACATGCGGCGGTTATCCAACTTGGCACATTTGCGAGCCAGTTTTTGCTACTTTTTATGTCGCTGTCACCACTTAGCACCGGTGTTACCCACGTGCAGAAAGGACATCAAAATCCAATCGGAAAAGGGGACCCGGGGGTCCGAGCTGGTGTGGCCACTAAGAATTTATTCTTGAAGCATAACGAGAAAAACGCGAAAACAAAAATTTGGGACGAGCCCCTTTTGCTCTAATCATGTCATAGAACTGACCAATCCTATTTTAAAAGGGGACCCGGGGGTCCGAGCTGGTGTGGCCACGAAGAATTTATTCTTGAAGGCAGCAGAACAAATTCCTGAGCTTCTATCTCCTCGCAGAGACGGAAGCATAATGAGAAAAACGCGGGACAAAAATTTGGGACGAGCCCCTTTCGCTCAATCATGTCATAGAACTGACCAATCCTATTTGACTTTCTTCATGGTGTCACAGCGAGGACAAATTGTGAGGCTGACTTTGTTTTACCGGTATCCTGTCTAGTTTTCCTTTTTTAATATAGGCTATGTTTGATGTTTGCGTTTTTCATGAACGCAGATAAAAAAAAAAATACACTCCATGAGTTTTAATATAGGCTATGTTTGATGTTTGCGTTTTTCACTCCCTTTTCCATGAGGCTGTCACGTCTCATTCGCTTGGTATCCCATTTCGTTCTCATCACATTCGCTCAACGTGTTATCATCACTCGTTTGGTCGCTATTACACTTTTCCACGCTTGTTACCACATGACCATGTGTAAGTGAACTCCTCCCATCAGCCGCCGACTCCCCCCGAAAACCACCAGCGCGGACCGCTCACGTACAGCCACGCGCAGGACGCCCCCAGCGGCGGGTCAGGTCAGCAGAGCTCACAAACACTTCTTCTGGAATTTGAATATCTTGAGGGAGAAGTTGAGTGCTAATCTTTGCTGACTTTGGTTGTCTTGTTCTTCACTTCCTCGTCAACGCCTTGATGTTCTTCCAGGACTTTGCCGAGGCTTGCCCGCCTATTCAGTTGAGCCGCTGACCAATGGGCTGACGGCTCCACCAACCCCCACTTCCTCTGAACCCCCCGCGGCCCATCCCCCGAGCCCCTGTGAGAGAATTTCAGCCAATCACAGCAACTCTGATGGGGGCATTCATAGGTGGGCTCATGTGTTAGCATCGTTAGCTGTTGAGTTTGTTTCACAGGGTTTCCCAAACCTCAAGGCCCTTTTCCAGGTTAGCACCGGTTCTTTCTTTTTCCCACCACTGAAATTGGCTCGAGCTCTCATGCTTGAAACTGGTGCTTAAGATGGCCCCAAGTATTTGGCGGGTCAGACTCTACGTCAGTGGGCGGCGTTATCATGACGAGCGCAGATGTAGAGGAAGGACTCCGTGGACACACAAAGTTTTGCACAAACTATAAACTCCGGCACAATTGTTGTCCCACCAGAAGAACGATGGCGGATGTGCCCTGCTAGCATACGATCTGCGACTCACGGCCGGCCTCGTGATCATCTACGTTGATTAAGGAAGATGGAAGCGTTTGCTGATTGCATGTCCCAGATGCTAAGATGCCTCACACATGCTAACAGCGCATTATTATTATTATTATTATTATTATTAATAGCACAGGCACTCTTGGGTAAACATCGACCTAAGCAGCGACGTTTGGAGGCTTTACGATAATGACGTAGCTCCTACTTGGCTCTTCGTAAGAAATTGTTAAGCACAGCACTGGCCCTGGTGCCGAACGAGCACCGAGGATTTTTTTTGGGGTGGGAGCCACGGCACGCATTTTACGGAATAAAAATTTCACGGCACCCCACCGTGGCAAAATGTCAAATATGATGACTAAGAATAATGGCCCAGGGGTCATGGTTTCGCCCCCCCCCCCCCCGATTCAAGTGTTGAAGAGGTTGGAGACCACTGCACTCGAAAGCGCCGTAAACCCGCCACCCGCTTCTGCACAGGTCGTCGGCGACCGGCTACAACAGCGACACCCTTGCCACCGGCTCCTCCTCCCCCTCCCTGCTCCACCATCAGAGCTCCAAGTCATCAGAGAGCGACCTGTCCACATCCACTTTCCCCATCGCCCCCCTGTCCAAACTGCGCGGGCCTTCGCCTCCCGGCAGCGCCGCGCAGCGTCCGCCGATGCCGCAGACCTGCTTACCTCACACGCCGCCCCGCGAGATCCCACCCTGCGGCTTCAACGGGTGCCCGGCCAATCACCAAGTGCCCCCTCAGCACCCCCTCGGAAACACGGGGCCGGCTCCGCCTCCGGGTACGGGGTCCTTCCCCGCCGGCGAGCTGGTGCCAGTGGCCCTGGAGCGCCGGGAAGGCGGCGGCCTGGGTTTCAGCATCACGGCGGGAGGGCCGGGAGGTCAGCTGGCCGTGGTCAGGAGGGTCTGGGACCGCAGGCAGTGCCCCTCCCTGCAATCGGGGGACGCCGTGGTCAAGATCAACGGTGCCGACGTCCAGAACCTCAACTTCTCTCAGGTCAGAACACTTTCTAAAATGAATCACCCACGTTGGCCCGGAGAGGGCGGAGTCAGTCATGGCACGTATGTTTCCCCCCGCCCGCCTCAGGTCCAGAAGGTTCTGCAGGATCACTCAAAACAGGGGAAGGTGGTTCTGCTGGTGCGCAGACAAGGTACCCCGCCAATCACAATGACCGATGACTGACACGTGATTGAACTTTTTCATCTTCCGCCCTCAGCTCCTGCCTCCTCCGCATCTTCGGTCACGCCTAATTTGTACAAGCCCCTCCCCTTCCCGCAAGGTCTCGCAAGCCCCCCGTCCCAACCCTCGACGTCCACCGATTTGCCTTCCCCGTCCTCGCGTGCCTTGGTAGGCGGCGTGCCGCCGCTCAGCCAGGCGGGCTTGGCGACGGAGGCCCCGCCGGAGGGGCACTTCTCAGTAGCAGGTAACAGGCTCGGCCTTCAAGACCTTGACTTTTTATTTGTATTCATTCTTCTCTGGACTCTTAACTCATTCAGGACCAGCCAATTCTGACTAAGTCTGAAAAGACGTTTAAAAACGTCTTTGGGAGTGATTGAGTTAAGGCCCTATTTTCATTCCAGGCACAAGTCTAGCGCAAAGCGGAATCTCATTGCGCGTATGGGTGGAGTTTTCTTTCTCTCGGGCTTTTGCTCGACTTTGCGCCAGTCGTATTGGGTGTCATGACGGGGGCGTTTGCGCCTTTGTGCGGCTTTGCGGTATGGAACGGAGTGTCTTCCTGGCCAATCCTCTCGGCATTCCTCATTTGCATCAAAATCAGGGCGAGGGCAGGAAAGTAATCTCATCTGTGCTGTACGTTGCACATAGAGGATATTTGACAATGAAGCTTGACTTGACTTGACTTGAGTGTGCCGTGCTCGAACTCTGCGGAAACAGAAATTAGACTGGCTGGAGTTTGCGCATGACATTGGCACGGAAACGGCGATATCTCCCCTTTGGGATGAGGAAGTCGGCCGTGCGTTTCGTGGGAAGTTGGAGCCTTGCACCTCTCAATCATGCGTCCGCCTGTGTCATGTTTATGAATTAAATATCATGAGGTCCAAGTCTATGGCCACGACATTCGTCAAAGGAGAAGAATCTGTGCTTGGTGGTTGCGCCTTCTCGACAGCACGCGTGCACTAGCAATGATTTTGTTTTGTGAGGACTGTCGGCGCCATTTGACTGTCGCCGCTGGACAAGGCGCTTGTGTTTCTTGCGCCTGTTATGGGCAGCATTTTTCACAGCCCCATTTTGTTTAGCGGAGATGTCAGCGCTTTCGGAAAGTCTGCGTTGATTTGGCTGTGGATGGATGGCTGGCTTGCGGAGCCGACGATGAGGAGAGAAGAGCATCCATGCGTATTTGGAACTGAGAGTCGCCGCTTGGAATTGAAGCGGATTTACATGATGCTCCCTCGTTTCCCAGGGAGCCCGCCCAGCCAGGTGGCCAACGGGCCCCCCATCTCAGGCCTCATCCAGAGCACCAGCTTCCTGGACTCCGTTCCTGTGACCTTGACTTTAGAGCCACGCGACCTACAGGGGGTGGAGGAAAGCTCGGTGGGGCCGATCAGAGGAGCCGTTGCCAAGGACACCAGGGAGGGGAAGAAGGTGGAGGTGGAGCTGACGAGGCGCCCCGGTGAAGGCTTCGGTTTTGTCATCTCATCCCAAGAAGTCGACCGTGGGGGTGAGTCGCCTCTCTTTCCATCCATCCATTTTCCGATCCGCTTTATCCTCACGAGGGTCGCGGGGCAACCGGAGCCAATCCGATCTGCCTTCGGGCAGCAGGCGGGGGACACCCTCAACCGGTTGCCAGACCATCGCAGGGCACACACATCGACCAATAACCATTTGTGCTCACAGTCACCCCCCCAGGGCAGTGGCTCTTAACCTTGTTTGAGCTACCGAACCCAACCAGTTCATAAGCACGTTCACCGAACCCTTCATTGGTGCAAAACAAAAATATGACTTTTTACAAATTCAAGACATAAAAAGACATTTATTGAAAAACATTCAAATTTCAAGACATAAGTTTTTTAAAAATTTTACAACGTACTACCACGACAGTCAAACGGTGACTACTGACCGAACTAAATTTCCCAAGCAATGTAATGTGATCATTTGCAGCCAGTGATGGCCAAGCGGGCGTGTCACAACTAATTGACATGTTGAGTCGGGTGTTCCTTAACCGCCATGGTAGAGGCTCCGTCGAAACCCCTGAGACCAATTCACCGAACCCCTGAGGTTCGATCCAACCAATGTAAAGAACCACTGCCCTTGGGACAACCCAGAGTGTTCCATTAGCCTACCGTGCATGTTTTTGGAATGTGGGAGGAAACCGGAGCACCCGGAGAAAACCCATGTCGGCACGGGGAGAACATGCAGACTCCACGCAGGAAGGCCGGAGGCAGAATCGAACCCCGCGCCTCTGCGCTGCGAGGCCGACGTGCCAACTGGTCCCGCACCGTGCTCTATTTCAATCCGTTTTTTTTTTTTTTTTTTGGGGGGGGGGGGGGGGGGTTTTGTTCTAAACTC